GAGGCTCACTCATCATTTACTTGGACAAGGTTGGAAATCACACCAATCTTTCTCCTTATCCCCCCTTTTCCCCTTTACCCTGGTGTTTATTTATGTTTTTCACTTTTGTGTGTGTCTGTATTTCAATTCCCAGGTTTCTCACACACGACCAGAGGAAATTGCTTTTAGGATCAAACAGGAAATGCCAGTGGGCGTCTTACAACCCGCAGCTGTATCTGTCTATGAATACTATGAACGTGAGTTTTATAAACATCTTACCTTTGTTACCTTCAGGTGTTCCAATAAGCACCTAGAGATGCTGTCTCTTGGTGCTGTCTGTCTGCCGAGCAGCTGTACTTTTCTGACTCCATTGTGCCAAGTCTAAAGTTTGGTTGTTTGTCAGGAGTTCCAGTTAAAAAAAGACAATTTCGCAATCCTAACTTTGTGGCAACAGTTTGAGGATGAGAATGTTTCAACACACCGGTTTTGCACTATAGTGCACAATGCAAGGTCCATCAAGACATGGTGTAACAGCAGTCTGGCGAGGAAGGAGCAGCTAGCAGGTCCAGCGGGCATACTGTGTGGAGTTTAGCCGGATAACTCAAAGCCAGTCAGTTAAATCAAACAACAGACCTTTATTTGACGTTAGCAACATAAGACCACACAAGCCAGGTCTCCACTGCTTTACTCTGTCCGTACATACATGTGCGGGGATGGGTAGACACCAATGCCAGCCCGTTACAATGGTGAGGTCTTTCTTGGAACAGACACACGGGCAGCATGTACTGGTCTGCACAGTCTTGACCTCAACTTGATAGAACAGGTTTGGGATGAATTAAAATGGAGATTGTAAACTAGGCCTTTTCATCTAACATTGTATGACCTCACAAATACACTTTGGGAAGAATGATCAAAAAATCCTATAAACACACTCCTGAACCTTGTGGAAAGCATCCCAGAAGAGTTGAAGCTGTTACAGCTGCAAAGGTTGGGTTGACATCATATTAAACCGTATGGATTAAGATGGGATGTTCAAAGTTCATTTGTGTGCGTGATTTGTCATTGCCATATACATTGTTATATCTACCATAGCGGTCACAAAATAATAGAGAAATACCTTCTTTTTTATTGCAGAAACACGCTGTGTGAAATTATACCATCCACAGAGGGAAGCTGGAAAACTACTGCAGCTCTGTAGAGATAACATATGCACATGTGCTGAAGGTAAACACAATCATATACATGTGATTAGAAAAGCGTATTTTACAACAGTAATTAAAATGTTTTCATGCATTTTTCTATTAACTTTAAATGGTACAGAATACAGCATTAGAAGTGTGATTAAAGTAAAGGTTTCATTTTAATAGTCAAAATTTGAGCAAACGTGGTTTTTATGTAGTTTTGTTTGGGTGCAAGTTCTTCCTGACAATGAACTGGTTAAACCTGAGGGTGGGTGGAAGGCACCTGAAGCTGTGGATATGCTGATCCTGTGTCACAGTGCCTTTTTGGCATACAGTTATGAAAAATAAATCATGGACTCCTGTGTATCCTGAAGTATTCCTGAGTCGCATAGGAGGCTGTCTGACCAACAGCTAAATCATGGTGAAAACTGGTTCTTAACAAAAACACAAGCACACAGCAAATCTATAACAGGATAGCTGGGACCGATGTCCAGACCCCAACCCCTTTGAAATGGTGTGGCAGGAATATGATAGACTTATACAGGGGCAAATCCCCACAAACCTAAAACTCCTCAAATGATGCGAGACACTGATTTCAGAGAAAGATTTACTTATTATATATAAAACTTATTATAAAGAATTACTTATTACTGCTAAAGGTGATTCTGCGAGCTTTTGAATCATTGGGTATACTTTCACACTGCACTATTCTGGCCTGTGAAAGTACATTTGTTCTTCATAACTAGCTAGGGTGCTGTTAGTAACTTTAGATCTATGCACTAATCTACAATTATAAAAGACGCCTATTTTAGCAAATGAGATTTAAATAGTATATTCGACCTTCATATACCTGCAGTCACCTATCCACACACATGTATACATCAGCTTTGCATTTTTACCCTGTCCCTATTCTGTACTTACAGAGAACTGCAGTATGCAGAAGAAGGAAAAAATCCCCAATGATGACCGCCAAGATAAGATTTGTGAAAGTACAGAGACCAGCAAAGTAGACTTTGGTAAACAAACATAAATGGGTTACATTTAGATTTATTTAATAGAATATAGTAAAGCAAAAAGCTAAAAACTATACTTTGGCTGCCCACAGCTTACAAAGTACTGGTTGAAGAGGTTGTAGAAGAGTTATCCACAGACAGTCACAAAGTCAAAGTGCTGGACCCCATCAAAGAAGGCAAGTACTTACGTCCTTTAAACGTCTATTTTAAAAGAAATTATTAGTTTGTTTTTGTGGCATTAAGATAGCAGTGACAGTTAGTTTCTATTATAGCCACAAAAAAATAGGCAATTTGAAGGACAAATCGAGCATTTTATAAAACTGCTGCATGCTTTTGTACTGAGAGGTACATTTAGTGGTTGACACCATTTGCTATCAGTGTGGCTTGTCTTACTGATACCCATTTTCTCATTTAACATTTAATACTCAGCATAGGCATATTGACAAAATACTAGTATTATCTATATAATACTGTATTATGATGATACAACTAGGAATGTATATGAACACAGCAGCACTGTGTTTAACTATAACTTGAGCAACACATTCAGTCATTCATAAATCACTGCTCTCAACTGTCATATCTTAATTACAGGGAGTCTTGATGTTGGTCCACTGAATAAACAGCGCATATTTCTCAGTTATCAACACTGCAGAGAAGCTTTAAGTCTGGAACAAGGAAAAACCTACCTTATCATGGGCTCAGATAAAGATATTCACCGAGATGACAAAAAGAATACGTAAGTATATTGTTTGTCTGGCTGTGCTTGTGTGTGGTGTATATTTAAACTAATCTCAGAGTTCTATTCATTAATCATACCTTCAGTGAATAAATGTAATTATCTTGAACTGTGTATATTTATCACAGTTGTTTTATTCTGTATTTTGCTGATTGGTCACACAAACACTATTTTTCTTTCAATTGTTCTTTTCAGATTCGAGTACGTAATTGGTGAGAGAACCTGGGTTGAGTATTGGCCTACAGCAGAAGAGTGTCAGACTGACAAATACCGGGATACCTGCTTGGGCTTGGAGGAGATGGTCAATCAGTACTCACTCTTTAGATGCATCGGCTAGTAAAACAAAAAACATTTCAAATCTTGTTATTCTGCCGTTTTTACAATTTTCTGTAAAAAAGAAAGAAACTGTTATAACATAAGGGTTTCACCATTTCACTGCAGTGATTAAAATGTATTAAAATTTGGTACTGGCTCTGTGTTTATTCAAGTTTATGGTGGTTAATAAATTTCTCGAATTTTTAATGCATTTGAAACTTTACTAATCCATGACAAGCACAACAAAAAAATAAAACATTTGAAATAAAACACCCAGCCCTCCATATAAACCGGATAAGTACAAGAAAAAAGGTTGGATGTATAGAAATATTACTAAGTTAGTATAACTGCAGAAATAAGAAAATATGTTGGCATTTATTTTAATTTTCAGACAAATACAGTGAAGAAACGAAAGGAAAGCAGAGGGAGAGAGAGGAAGACATGCGGCAAAAGGCCACGGGTCAGACTCAAACCCGTGTTCCTTGACGTTTGCCATATCCAAAGTTTTATGTTCTCCTTAAATTGCTGTCTGTCTGAATGATGTCCAAAAGACGGTGTGGGCTTTTTAGATAACTGGGAAACTTTCTGGAGGAAACCTGGTCTTGTTAGGAGAGACAGTACCCAGCTGCTCTCATTTCTAGAAATTTGGCTATTTTCACCAGCCTGTTAATCAACCAAAGACCAAGACAGAATTTTAATTCATTTGAAAGCCTGATGCTTAGCCTTGTCCATCCCAGCTGCAAAACTCAAAAAACATTCTTCTTTGGCTCTTGAGGAAGGCGGTCACACTTTCCTCCTCTCCCTTACCCTTATCTTCCCTGCTTGGCTTCTTGTGTCTTTGTCTAGTCTCGTCTACTTTTCTACTCTTGCCCTGGAACACTCTCATAGTCTGTTCGCTAAAACCTAAAATAGGAATTATGGATTTGATCAACTGGTCCCTGAATGCAATTGACACCC